TCAAAAAGTGTTAGCACAGTTTTCATGCGTTACCATGAAATGGTTACGCTTCACTAAATACTGTATTGTATTCACTAATCAGTTTGGGCATTTAATCGTCTAATTTTTAACTAAAGTAACATATTTATATATCAAATACAACATAAGTTTTGGAAGAGTAAATATTAATTTTCTGTGGTGGTGATTTTGCAGTTTTGTCTGGAACGATTTATGAATGTCGCCTGTTGAAAACCTTGGCACCAACGCCTTAGGTGCTAAGGGTTTTAACCCTATATACCCTCTTAATCACATTACATGTTAAAGGGTTTTTATCACTTCTCAAAATTTTTTGATATGACAAAGTTTACATGGTATTAAAATCATATATCTAAAAATCTTTGTTAGAAAATTAATATTTTTGATGTTTCAGGGATTCAAAGTTTGAATTTCTCAATATGCATATTTTGATCACCGATGTTACGCGCCATTGCTCTGACGTCATAGGTGTCAATCCTGGTCAAGCAAGGTACTTATTGTGTATACAAAACCTGGCTCATTTGTAGTGTCTATTAAACCTGTTAGAAAATAATTAAGAGATAATTGGATAATTGACAGCTAGTAAGATATAATTTAAAGCTTTAGGATGCACAAATGTGCACAAGAAAGGTTTTAGGAAGAATTTTTTTTCACATTTCCTGGACTTGGTCGAGAGATGAAAGGGGGACCTTAATTTTTCTGCAAATGCAATGGCGTTAATCTCTATTCAGAACAATCGTTTATGCCCGATCGATCAGTTTTTTTCTGTCCTATAAAATATTTTTAGGAAAGATACCTTTTTAAAAAAAATAATACATGACAAACACGCATTTTTTAAAAGTCGCACAGAATCTATAGTAGGAATGTTGTGAACTTCGTAATGGCGTACGGCGCCATTGAAGAAGTGTCATTTCTAGTACATGATATTCAGTGCTGAAATAGATAGAAGAAATACAGGATTTATTCATCAAAATGATAATGAAGGAGAATTTAAAATTCCCATATTTATAAATGTTTAAGGTTAAACTTTAGTAATTCGTTCTATTAAGTCGAAGTCCCGAGTTGTCAACGGCTTCGTCTTCGGTGACCTCTCCAATTGTCGGCATATTTTCTGGTTATTTCTCTCTGCTAGACGTTCATACATAGAAGATTGACCGTCCATAACCAAAGGAATATAGCCGATGTCAAAATTTCAACCGGCCATATTGTGTATTCTATTTATTTAGCGTAAAAATCTATTCATTATATTTTTTCTTACGATAAGCTTTACGAGTTCTATTGACCATTGACACCTATGACGTTTCAGTACCACGTGACCCCTATCTAATTAGTGGAGATTTTTACTTCGAGGACCCTATTTTGCGGGCGTTTTATCGTCTAATTACGGCCGTTTTCAACATGATTTCATAATTAAACGATAATTATATGTTTCAAGAATATAATAGTGTTTCATTTTTAAGAAATTTAGATACGTGATAAAAACCCTTTAATAATAGTCAAAAACAATACTAACGAAACTTTTCCCGCAAAATCATATACACGGTGTAATCTTTTTGATCACAAAGCGGAACACATTTTCATGAAAAGTGTCCGGCATATGTAACCCTTGCACATGCAATACTCTACACTGTATTTCTAATTTAACCTGTAAATTTCCTACAAGAGAGTTTTCCCTATCAGGTTGCTAAATATTTATTGAAACTAAAATGAGTTTTATCTCCACAGGATATCCAGAAGTGGTGTTAGGATTTCTTTTCGAAGTTTAAAAGTTAGTTATGAATTATGAATTCTCAAACATTTTAATTGGGAAACCGCTCAAGTGAATAAACCACGGAAATTCAAATCTATACTAGTATTTTCTAAACGTTTCTAAAGCAGGTCATTTTTCTCAACTTCTAGAAAAAGCTAAAAAATTTGTTTTAGTACACTATATATATTGCATAACGTAGGAATTTGCTATTATTAAAAAGTCAAGGACATTCAGAGGTCAATCATAACCTTTATCCTTGATCAGGCTTACTGTTTTCCAGATCGATCAGAAAGAGCGAATTCACATACCCACCAATAGACGGAAGTTTGCATTTTCCCTCAGTTTGTTTTGACACACAATTATGAAGGTTATTGAAGAAGGAAGTAGATGTACCTGTCTTTCATACATAGTATTTAATGCGGAAAAAAATTAAAAAATTCATTTTAACAAAAAAGCTTACATGTTATTATTATATATTATAAATTGTTATACATGAATTCAAAAAATAAAGTATTTTTCTTTTGCTTGTTAATGCTGAAACTAACAGTTGCAACTATTGAAAAAAAATACATAACCCGCGTAAGTGGGTTATGTAATATTTTATTCTGCAAAAGTTGCAGCCGTTAAGCCCACATTAACAAACAAAGAAAATATTTCATTGTTTATATTTTTGTCTGTATAATTATTCGTATAAAGTAGTTTTAGTTACGTAAACTATGACTGATTTGTACGAATCTTTCATACAGGTGGCCTTGAAAGACTGGCTCAAACTAATTTAACATTTAATGGATTGATTAAGAGAAGTTGTTTTCATATGAAACAAGTATAACTTTTTCTTCAGCAACAACCTTAAACTGTAAACTGACATACACCTATCAAGTCGTATTATTTTTAAGTACTGTAGTCCTTGGCTTTGTACTTCGTCAACAGCTTTTTACAGACATTATCCCATGTACAGTATAAACGAATGGAAAAAAGAATAAACACGCATTTCAATATTTGCATGCAGAAAAAGAAGAAGATGGGCGAACAAGGCGAGCGCAATGCCTATAGTGCAACACACGAAGGTGAAAAATTGAATCCCAATTATAACAAAATTTTCTCATCTAAAATTAAGGACGACGGACCTAATTCAAAATTTCACGCCACTGCGCAGAAAACCGCGCATATGCCTTGAATCAAATTGACTTAATTATGTATTACAAAAGATAAAAAATATACATTTTTAATACTTTTAAAGACATTCAAACGTTTCTTCTCAATTCAAAAATATTGTAAATATTTCGATCACAATTCAAAAATATTGTAAATATTTCGGTTTATATTCATTTGTTGATTTTATAAATAAATGATTTATTTGGCCAAGATATTTTCACTGAAAATTTCCCCAAAATCTGCCCTACACCTGCGTTTGACATGCCCCCCTGAAAAATCTATGCCGATGACCCATTTATTTTTTGGCATAATTTGCTGGTAAATTGTCTTGTTAACATTGTCTTTTAATATGAATAAAAATTCTATTGCAGATTTTTTTTTTCAATGATCACTCTTATACCCTACACTGGCAATTTCCCATTACTTCCTATAGTAATTATCTATTTCCATTGCCAACTTTTGAAACGCTCCCCATTAAAAATCTACATTGATGACCATATAAATTTTTTATTGATTTTAACTCACCAAAAGTCACTTTACCTCATATTAAAATTTGAATAAAAAATCTATTGCAGAAATGAATTAGGTCCGTCGTCGTTAAAGCATACTTTATTTAAAATCTCTACAATTTGCAAAAATCTCACTAAGATTGAAATTATTACATACTAGAGAGGGCAAAAAGGATCATTTTCTCATATTATAACACGATTTTTCGATATGAGTGGGTCTTCGCTCCATGTTTTTCACAATTTATCCTCAAAGTTTGCGAAAAAATATACATTTTTTGGTCAACAAAAACGTGGATCAAAGACCCACTACACCTTAAAAATACACTTTTATGACACAACATTCGCATCTTTCCGAAAAATACTTGAAGTCCATTTAGTCAAGGGTAACATGATTTAAATGCAACGACTCATCAAGGGCTGTGTAGCGTAGTGGTTAGCGTGTTAGTCTCGATGAAAATGATACTTAGGATTTTTATTACTAGGGTTCGAACCCCTCGATAACCACATAATTTTTTTTTTTAAATAACAGAATAATTTTTGCTGAGAAAATTTTCCTCAGAAAAGTTTTGTTTATCACAATTTCATAAATTTCAAAAATGAGAAGTTTATTTATATACTAAATTCACAAACTGATTATGATTTTTATAAATCTGAAGCTATAGGCATTCTGCGCGCCTTGTTCACCCAACTCCTTTCTGTTAATCATGAAAATGTAGAAAAAACTTAATAGCAGTTGCTATAAAAAATTAAAGTGTCAATTTCATTTACTTTCATTTTATTTTTGTTCGTTTTGTTGATTTTATTTAAAGATTGAAAATCTTGAAAAATTGTCGTACAAAAATTATATCACCAGAAAATTATCTCCCTTGTCTTACGCAGGATTTCAACCAATGAAATAATTAAAAATTTTCACATCATGAATTTTCTACCAATCTCAGAAGAGAGGAAGTGCCTAGTCCGAAGACTGTAAAATACTTTGTAAACTATGTATACCGTCTTCCAAGGAAGGCGGTAATAAGGGAGAAAATATTCAGTGAATGTACATATAACTCTCTCAGTTACATGTACAGGAACACGCTTACTAATATTATTGGCAACAAATAAAATCTTAATTCCTCACCTATCGTTCGTCTTTCATCGATGCTCTAAGCGTAAACATACCGCTCACAAGTAACTGTATCCAACATAGGAATTGTTAGAAAATATATCATGTATCTACTACTCTATAAACACAACAAGGCAAGAAACTCTCCTCCATGTTGGATTCCGCTTTGGATTCCTTACTACATGACTATAGTAGCGAGAATTTCTAGCGGGCTTTTCTCAGACATAGGAAGTTCTCATTTTTTGAAGAAAAAACAAATCAGGTTGAATCTTGCAGGTTGTCCGTAGTTTGATGCATTCGAAGACTATAGTAACAGAGATGTACATGTAAGGAAAGCTGTGTGTATAGCCAGCTCTCTGGTGAGACATTGAGGGGAGACATTAATTAAAATTCTGGCAAACGTTTAAAGTTTAAACTTACATCACCTTCGCGTACATAGAAATGATCCAAACATCATGCAATCTAATAATATTCATAATTTATTTCAATATCCTGTAAATATATTACAATATTGCTATAGTGGTAAAATAATCAATCTACTACAAGTTAAATTAAAACTACATAAATAGTCACAAATATAAAGATCTAAAGCTATACAGAAATATGATCCTGCAATATTTGTAAACACCCCAAATTGGCGCATCTCTCAGTCCAAGTCACAATGATATATTGTACACATGGCAATGTAGGAAAAATAATTTACAATAATTGATGTCAAAGGATTTAACAAAATGGCATTTTATATGTGCTATTTCAAGCTAATATTTAATGCTCTCTCGCTCTTGATGTGGCGTGAAAATGTCAGTAAATCATTCGTACGGTCTTGCATTCGGTATTTTCCCTATAAGTGTTACAAATGATTTATTTCATTAATAGACGGATACATGCATGTGTGAATATGATTTATAAAAATCGACTTCGAATAAAAGTTTGAGTTATGATGTACCAAAACTGAATATGTCACATGTATTTCTCTTACACCTAAAGTACACGCATGTTTACAATCTCACTCATCATTTACAAATGTCACTGAGGACATGTCAAAACTTGCTGCACAATTGTTAATAACATACATTAACTGTCAGACTAATTTGAATCTGAAAACAGTAAAAGAATAGCAGCATTGTATTTTTAGAAAGTATTCAATCAAATGCTTGTTGTGTGGTTAAATTGATACCTTCAAGATTCTCTAGACTTTAATGATGGCCAGGAAGCGTCTTATCACCCTGGTTATTCAGTTGGCGCTTGTTTCTCGATAAGAAGCTAATAAAAATTGCAATTATGGCATTACATTCAAATAGTGATGTGCAGACTGTAATTGCGTAGTTATAGATACTTATAATGCTAATCTTGATGGGAATTACAGTATTCAGTGATAGTTTGAACTAGCCAGATTATACATAAAAAGCGTAATCGACGTTTTCCGTCGCAGTTTGGTGTTGAATTACCACAGGGTTTTAAGTAAAAACAACTGTTACAGTTACTGAACTATATATACAAATGGGATAAAAATACTGTTAACCGCAAATTGCGGTTGACTACTGTATCAAACAGTCACATTCATTGTCCATTTTGAGTTTTCACCTGATCTTCTTCTGATTCCGGTTCCTTCTTTTCTTCGATTTCGCCGATTTCTACTTTTTCCAGTTCCTCAGCCTTTTCCGCTTCCGGTCGCGCTCTGCTTCTGGTTAGGCATCGCTTAGTTCTTCCAAAAGTAGCTCCAGCAGAAAAAATATATTCATATAGAAGAGCAGCGACAAAACTGCCGACAAATGGACCAATCCAAAATACCTAAAATTAAAAAAAAATCAAAACAAAATTATGTCATATTTCTATGTAAGCCTTTGAATGACATATAGAAAGATTTTTACTTTTGTATGATGATTGCAGCTATCTAAAATAAAAAAAAATTTAAAACTTACCCAATGAGCGTCCCAGGCATTTTGAATGACAGCGGGTCCAAAACTTCTGGCCGGATTCATGCTACATCCGGTATAGGCGATCTGTAAAAGACAGTAATCAAACTATAAAATTAATCCATAACAAGATTATTTATGGAGTGATCGCGTGGGGTGAGGAATTTCTGACCCATTACTCTAAAGCAGTTGTTTAGATAGAGTTAAGTGGCAGAGTCTAATACCGTGAAACATCAGGGAATTTTGGGGCCGCACGTGTTCTTGACAAGTGGTCAGATTTTGATATGAAGTATACTTATCGTTTTTCCATATCAACATATGGCAAATGTTTTTTTTCTGCATGTTTGCTTAATGTAAAACTTCTCTTAATCGGGTCATATTCAACAAACTTATTTGCATAATTATGTTAAAGTTTTTACTATTAATTTGTAATCATATTCCCCAAACTTTAGTCAACTGACTTTTTTTTAAGTCGTACATCAAAATATGATCTTATTACGGAAGATAAAGTATAAACAGAGGCAGATGGACGTTGTCTTAATTAGGCTAGCGTCATTCCTGTGTATCGTCTTATAACGTGATCAGGTCGGCGTAAAGGCAGAATTGTTTAGATTATACTGATTTGAACATTAAACAGAGATAAACTTTTGATTAAGCTGACCTTCTGTTTCTTTGTTCAACATCACAAGTAGCAATAATTTCCCCTTAAAGAAGTCAAACATAATTTATCACTGAACGCACCGCGTTTTACACTTATACAAATACAATGCAGTTTCTTGGACTTTTATTTATAAGTTCAATTAAATGCAATGCATGAAGCGTAATTTTCTTAAGTGTTTTGTGTTTTAAATAAAGTTTGCAAAAAATATATATTCGGAAAAGAGAGATTTAATATTTTTTTGAAAAATGATTAAAATAACATTGATTCTTCGGCTGAAATTAATGGCCACTTCTCATCCGAAGATGGTCAGTTTTATTTACAACAACCGAAAAATTCACAAACTTTCTTCAGATAACAAAATTGACAAATGACTTTATAATTTACTCACGGCTACCAAATGTCCAACGACGACTGCCAGGCCAATAGACAGAGGGGCGGATCCTCGGAGGTCAGTTCGCTTCTCATCGATTGATGCCAGGACAGTAAACACTAAGACAAACGTGATCATCACCTCCACCCCGAAACCTTGGGCTTCGGTTACTTCTCCGTTCATTGCGTTAACGCCTAGCCCAGCCCGGGTATTGGAAGGAGTTATTCCGAAGAGAATTGCTGCTCCAACAATAGCTCCAATAAGCTGGGACACAATATACATCAGAGCCCGGACAATGCTCACACGCCTTGTAACAAGGGCTGCTAACGTTACGGCGGGGTTAATGTGCCCTCCACTAACATGGGCGATGCCCCATACCATTGTTCCCACGATCAGTCCAAAAGTAAGGGCTATTTGCACGTAGTCTGCTGGATTGCCTGATATATTTTGCTGCTTTGTGGCGGTTGCACACCCGAAAAAGACCAGGAACAAAGTTCCCAGAAGCTCTGCGGCAGCAGCTCTCCATAAGTTGGGGCTAGTCAAATCCTCCAAATTTTCCCTCATGATTTTCCACATGTTATAGGACCAAGCACCTGGATGAAACTGTTTTTTCAAAGCTTATCTCTCTGCGCACCCAAGAGTGAGGTTTGGAAAAAAAATTGAATAGAATCAAGTTATACAGTGCGAACGCGCATGTCCATGGAGTTTGGGAAAAAAGTGACCTCCCTCTCGATATTTCTAGAATTCCAAGGAGTTTAACTGGGAAATGAAAAGCGTTAAGAGATTTTAGGCAATGTTACATTTTGATCAAATTCAGAGAATTATGTCAAGTAAAATTGATTATTATTTAAAATATTTACTTTATTGAATAATGATATATATTTTAAAAAATATTTTAAAAAAGGAAAACATTTATATTTGTTAAAAATTATTATCATTTTCCTGAAAAGCACTTTTGCACAGTTATTTTTTCCTGAGAAATTTGCTCCACTTTCGTACATGCATTTATAGTCAACGTGTAAAATTTGACAATCCTGTCATAATAGAATGTCCATTCATTACAAATAAACCGCATTTCCCATGTTCATTATTTATGCACCTTAAAGACTATCATTTTTACTCTGTGTCATATTAAATGTAAACAGAGACATCGCGATATTATGACCTGAAAATGTAGAGAGCCAAGTTACTGGGATAACCTTTGGATGACGCATTCATTGAATTCTGTGTAGTGGGTTCAAAATCGTGTTTACAGATTGTTTTATTACTTAGTGTATAATTAATGCAAAAATACAGATGGACAATTATAAGTATGCTGGTGTGCGTGCAAAATAAATAAATAAATAAATAAAAAATAAATAAATAAAAAAATAAATAATTGCTTTAAATTGTGTTTGTTATTGGGTGCATAATTTGTTGTGAATCTGAAACTAAAAATGTTTTGAGTCAGTGTTGCATTTTCCTGAATGAATTAGAGAGAGGGATATGGAATTTTTTAGTGACTAGGAAAGGAAAACAAAAGTGCAACAGTTACCGAACAATACAAAAATCAGTTTTAAAGGAATTGGACAAAAATAGGTGCTAAAAAGTTCGTTATGTAACATGGTGTTGAATGTACAAGCGACACTGCATCAATAGACGTGTTGTTAATTAACATTGTTCCTCCTACGAATACAAACGTGATCGTGGTAGATGTGGGTGAAAACGAAAGTACGAACAATTTTTTAAAAGTCAAATATATGTCCGAGGAAGTAAACAACAATTCCCATAAACGTGCTTATGATGTTCTGTAGGCTTTGAAATACAATAATGTGTGGGATTAAGTCACTGCGTAACATGATTCCAGTATCCAATGATCAGAAACACCTTATTTTGATATACATAAACATTTAAGTGTGACAGTTTGTCACCTTTAAAAAAAATTATTTACGTCATTGTAAATTAAGACTAAGTTCACTTTTGTTATTGTGATAGGAAATTTGAATAATGTTTTGAATTACATATTTATACATTTTTGTTCATAAAATGCTTAAGCAATTTGTACTGGAAATCCTCAAAATGCATAGTTGATATTCGAAAAAGATACACTTTAAACTGTAATTCATAACCATTTACAAGTCTTTCTGTCATTTGATCAATAGTTTTCTATCTAAATGATGAAAAATCGAACATTCAAAATGCTTCAGATTGCAATCTTGCAAATGAATATCTCTAGATCTGACATGAATATCTTGCGTTTTAATTTTTTTCTTCTTCTTTTTTTTCTACTCTATTTTTTTTTTTAATGTCTTTGCAAATCTTTGCAAAAAAGGTGGGAAAAAAATGTTTGAATAGAGTTTTGGAATTCTTGTGAAATTGGAGCCAAAAGACATTGAGTGCCTTAATTTTTGCAGTAGGTCAAAATACAAACAAATTTCATTTTAAATTTCAATGGTATTTAAGTGCACGGAATTTAAAATAATTTGTAATTTATACCTGGTGTATTTACGTAAGTTATTTTTATAAGCTCCAAACTTTTACGCATGTGTATCAAAAGACGCATGAATTAGTTTGTTACTAAATTTCCTGAAATTTTATCCTGTTTATTGATAAAGAGGAGCGAGGTTTGTGTAGCCATATTTCCATGTGTTGATTTTTTGCGATGTATATTTATAAACCACAACCGAGAATCTTATATTTGTAAAATCAACATCATTTAAACAGTTTATCGTTGTTTAATACTTTTGTTATTATTCAGGGAATTTTCATGCCACAAAAATCATCAGACTCTTGACAATTTTTTGAGTTTCTTCACAAAACGATTGAAGTGCTCCGATAATATATTGAGGGCGTGGATATCAATACAAAGACAAAAAAATTACCAACAATATATATTTCATCTGCAGCTGTTTTATCAATTTATCTAGATTTTCTTCGCTGACCCTAAGGTATTTTTTGAAATTTTTGTAGTCTTTTTTTTCCCTACGCTTCATCATTCGCTAGAAATAAAGCCTCGCCCTAATTCAGTTTCAGACAAATTAAAATAAATGCGCATAAACCACATCCCTCTGTGTTTGTGTAGGGGTTCCTGTTCACTGCCTATCACACTTCAAACAGTCTTGTTATCTTGTAAATCAGAGTCTGAGATTCTGGTTTAACTTTCTAGGATACCAGTACTTGTAGAACTCTCAATTCAATTTGAGTGCTGGTTAACATTTGACATGTTTGTAACATGTAGGATTTTTTTAAATGAAATCTAAATTAGTGTGCTACATTGAAAAAAGATAAATTTCATGCATTAATACTTCTTTTTCATTTATTCTTCGATAAAACGTGAAATAAGATATGTTTATTCTTTGAAACTGGCGTGTGTTATTCGATAATATATTGTACCTAATTTCCGATGCTGCCGATCTGCTGAATTCTTTTGTGTTTGTCATTTTATTTTATTAAACATTAAAACCATCTGATAAGTCAAACATATTCAAGATCTTTTTAAAAAAGTATATATAATATTCGTTGCTTGTTCTAACTTATCTCAAACATTTCTTTTTATACAAATGTTTGAATCCAAGTCAGAATAAGTCTTGTTTCTGAATTATGATTTTTTAGCATTAATTTTTTTCTCCTCCATCATAGAATGATATTTTCCGGGAAAACAAGCTAAGGTATCGTCAGATGAAATAAGAAATTCCCATCACCTTTGTCTGTTCTGGATTGATTAATCTGATATCATTTACTATATTTTCTATTTCCCCCCAAACCAAGATATTTCTGTTATCCATTGATAAGTATTTTTTTTTTTGAAATGCAGTGCTTATTTCTCAAGCCCCTTCTGTGTTTTATCTGTGTGACTCTATTGGGGGTGTTAGAAACCATTAAAATCCTAGGGTTTCTGCTAATTTTTAGCTGAATGATGTTAGGACTAATAAAACAAGTCTCCAACAGGCCTATCGCTTATTTGCAAGCATGTAAAATCTGACATCTACGACCGACTTCTGAGAAACGATTTAATTATATAATTTCTTGCACCTTTTCAATCTTCAAAAATTTATCACAAACCAATTTGAAACATATCGGGTCTCCTAAAGCATTCAAGATTACAACTCATAGATACCGTATGTTAGAGATTACAAGTTGTAGATTCTGTATATATATATATATATATATATATACATATATATATATATATATATATATATATATATATATATATATATATATATATATATATATATATATATATATATATATATAAGATTAAGGACTTGTAAAAACTACAGTTATATTTTTTTTTCTTGAAAGATGCATGGTGCTTGAATATGTGAAATCGATAGCGTCAAGAATTTTGCGCTTTCTCTTCGCACTGCTTACTTTAAGATCGTAAACACTGACCATCTGCTGAATCAAAATTGTATAGAGCCTGAAACATAAAAAAGTGTTATTTCTCAGTGAGCAGAAAGGCAGCGAGTGTAAAGTTTTCACATAAACTTGATCGAAATGACAAATGCCTCAACTGGACTATAGCGTCACGATATCGTAGGGAAAAATCCCTCCTTGATCGGCCATCGTACTCCTTGGAATTATTATTCCCTTCACAAGATTAAGACTCAAAAAATACGAATTATAACAAGGGTCAATTATATCAAATTTTCTGAACTAAGACAATTATGCCAAACAATGATTTTTTTAAAATTTTGTGGTATTATTTGACGTCATAGAATGATATAGGTCCCTAGGTCAATTATTGGAAATTTGACAGAAATATTTTGATCTTTAACACTATTGTGACATTTGATTTTTACGTAAATGCAAGTAAATATTACACTAGTACACGGTATTGTAAACAAATCCTTCATTAAGCCCTTAACATAAAAAATATCGTATTTATTTGTTTGTTTTGAACATATTTTATTGACAATATGTCAAAGGGATTGGACACACAAGTTCTAAAAACTTAGATAGTCCTCTCCCATTTATTTTTATATTTATTTCTTTACTAGGCATGCCGCATCAAACTTTTATAATTATGCAATGGATATTTAAAGTATCTCTTTTGAAATATGACTTCATAATTGAAAGAGAAATATAACCTCTTAATTTTTTTTTTATTTTCAGAGAAAATGGAATTTTTTTTGGGTTGCAATGAAATAATGAGATAACGAACAGTATTCAAGCTCATAGTCCATTTAAACAATGCAAATCGGGAGCAGAGCAAACACGGACCTCCAAAAACATCAGAGGCGGGATCATGTGCAATGGAGGAGTGAGCATCCTCTGTCGACCGGTCACACCCGCCGTGTGCTCCTTGTCATGATCGAGTAAACGGAAAAATCAGTAAAAATGCGAGTGTGTAAAAGATGGCATAACAATTAGTATAAAAAACCTCAGTCAGCATTAATTTTGACCCAGTGATAGATTGTATTTGCTGATAAGGTCATTGTATCGACCACAGAACTTGCGAAATCATGACTGTAAAGACACTGTTGATGACCTTGTTTTATCAACTTGTTGGTTAATAGCGTGCCTCGTTTTAAAAATTGATCGGATCGTACGTCGAGTACGCTCTTGCGTATCGAATCAACTGGGAGACATAAACCCCATATGCAGGTGATAAGGGTACGTTACATAAGTAAGGGACGTTGAAGATAGAAAAGTTGAAGTCATCAAGTCATCATTAAGTTTTGTTGTTAGGTCCTTTTCCAGTAAAATATCCAATTGTGAAACAGATGTGTCACACTCTACGGTGTCTTTTACTTCAAGTTC